GACTTTATCTTGAAAAGCCATCGTCATATTTATGGCATACACATGTGCAAAGAAACTGCACTTTGGTTGATCTCAATAAGTAATTGCATTTTCATGTAAAGTAAATAAATCCTTCATATCCATGTGGTTTTAATTGAATTAAGGCCCACCACAGAATCACTGATAAAAGAAAGTTCATCAATTTGGAACCGCACAAAGTTCAAAAGTTTAAAATATTCAACTTTTTCTATTGAAAAAAATACTCAACTTTTCAGACTCATTCGTGTTAACTTCTCTTATTGACTTGTCAGTAAAAGCCATCAAATACATAAAATCATCTTCTCACAATAACGGACACATTGATGAAATGTGGTTAAATTGGTATATTTTCAAAAACAGATATTATTCCAACTTGTGAAGCCAGACAAAAATCCATAATTACACGAAATCCTTGTCATGTTAGTGCCAATTAGAGGGATAAGTCGGAATAAAGACTATACTGTTGAGTCAGAAAAGAATGGAGGTTTTTAATTTTGAGATCATCCTCTTTAATGAAGACTAAATCTTTTCTTGTAATATCAAGCTGCAAAATTATGAGAACATAAGTTATTAATTTTCTTGGACTAACAATCGCACAAAAAATTAGGACAGAATTCTCACCTAAAGGTAAAAAGCTTAGAAAAGATTTATTTCCAGCCCAAATTCTAATTACAAGAAAATACAGAAATTAGATGCAAAAATAAATCATTCTATTCAGACTAATACAAACCTGATTCTCCACATTTTGCTCTGTGTTTCCCGAACAGTTTTAGCAACACATGCACTGTCCATTGTAAAAAAATAGCTATTTTGTGGCCAATCTGCAAATCTTTTCTTGTAATATCAAGCTGCAAAATTATGAGAACACAAGTTATTAATTTTCTTGGACTAACAATCGCACAAAAAAATAGGACAGAATTCTCAACCTAAAGATAAAAAGCTTAGAAAAGATTATTTCCAGCCCAAATTCTAAATACAAGAAAATACAGAAATCAGATGCAAAAATAAATCATTCTATTCAGACTAATACAAACCTGATTCTCCACATTTTGCTCTGTGTTTCCTGAACAGTTTTAGAAACATGCACTGTCCATTGTAAAAAAATTGCTATTTTGTGGCCAATCTGCAAAACATGACAAGAAAATGCTAGAAAAAAATGCAAGCACCAAGTAGTTACCATCTTGTTTATCAATCAAGCACCAAGTAGTTACCATCTTGTTTATCAATCAAATCATTATGTATGAATGAACTTCAGGGATTAATAATACAGCGCTAAATCTTTATTTAAGAACCTGAAATAAAGCATTTTTTCTAGCTTATCATCTAAATAAAAAATAAAAGGAAATGAAAAAACTTTAGAACAATAGAGGGAAAGCAAATCAACAAAAAAAAAAAAAACAAATAATATACATAAAATCTGTCATTGTGATAAACCTCAAATAAATAGTGTGCAAATGCCATTATGTCCCGTTTGGATACGTCTTTAATCGATTTTATTTTCAAAAAAATTAATTATTTAGTTTATTAGTCAAACACCGGAAAAAGCAAAAAATTGATTTTAACCCTTAAAATTAATCAAAACTAATATTTTGAGCTTTTCCAGAAACGCTGATAAAAAAATACTGGAGAAATTACATAAAAAGGTCCAAAAAAATTATAAAAAAGCACAATTTTATAAAAAAAATCAAACTCCCTTCTCTTCTTCTTTTTTTTCTTATAAAATTTAAATTTTAAATCTTTAAAAAAATTGCTAACATATATTAAATTAAATTACATTATAATATAATTAATTATGATTTAAATTTACTATTTAATTAATTATTTTTATAATTTATTATCCCAACTGAAATTTAAACGTACTTATGTGTCTTTGGACTTTGGATTAGTCTTCAATTTCAGCCTTCAGCTTCAGGACCCGACACGCGCGATTTTGAAATTCATTTTTCACTTTCCCTTCCAGCCTTCCCGCTGCACAGAGCCACACAGACCTGAGACCAGTCGACCGCAGCTTCACGCCTCCAAGTCCAACTCCACGACCTTGACCACGCCTCCGCCTCCACCTCCACTCCTCCACGCGACGCGACTGCAAGATACTTGCTTCCTCAACCCAGATCTCCACCAAATTTCTGTCCCAGCTTTGCCTCAGATTTCCACCGCCGTCGTTCTCTTCGACCTAGATCTGGTGTTGCCTCAAATCCATCGTTCTCCTCGTCGTCCTCAGATCTGGTGCGTTTATTGAATTTTTAGTTCTAAATATATAAGATATGGTTGAGTTTCGTTGACAAAAAGTGATATCTTAGGGGCATGAGTTGCTGGTCAACTCCGTCAGCATTAATGTGAAGCGTTCATTGGATCATAAATTGATTCGAAGAATTTGAGAATTTATCAGTAATGGACAAATCTTAGAGACAAGCGTGTATCGTTTTATATGCTCATTTTAATTTCATGCTGTAACATTAACTACTTCAAGTTCATGATTGGAATACTAAGTGGGTTTAATTTTTAATGAACTCTTGCAGGTGGAAAGCTACAGACTTTGCAACACTGAACCGATGTTCTATATCATATTTTGACTGTGATAAATTAGAACCAGCTGTTTCAAAATGGGCAAGAGCAAGGACCATGGCTGCTAAGGTATCTCTTTTCATGCTGGAACTGAAGTTACAAACTTTTTTTTTTAGCAACTTTGACTAAGTTGCCAAGACTGGAATGTCTTTCTGACGTCATTCAAAATAATGCATATATTCTTTTAGCCATATTTTTTTCATTGCTTCAAACATAATTAAACTTAAACTACATATCCTCTGGCTTTCTGGTTAGATCTTTGACTAAGACTATCGGCAGAGACAAATTCCAAGTTTTCATTTTCTTCTTAAGAATGCAGAATTTCTTTTTGAAGCCAGTCGAACGCTTATGAATTTTTTTACCCCTTTTTTGGTAGGTGGGAAAAGGTTTGTCCAAAGATGAGATGGCCCAGAAATTAGCGCTAAGGCACTGGCTTGAAGCTGTAAGTTAATTCAAATGAGTGTATATGTTGACCATTATGATCATTATCTGATTGTTAAGCTCACGTTTGCTAAAATTTCTTCATATGGATGGATCAAGGGCTAAGACTTTTCTTGGTGTTATTATATGCAGATTGATCCTCGTCATCGCTATGGCCACAACCTTCACATCTACTATGATGTCTGCTTTCATAGCCAGAGCTCTCAACCTTTTTTCTACTGGTAAATTTCAGGAACACAAGTTTTCCTACGACAATTCTTTCATATAAGCATAATATATAAATGTCTTTTTATAAGACAATACCAAATTATTTATAATTCATTTTTTTTAAAATTCATCTATATGACATAATTAAGTCTAATATAACCAAAGTTTAGATGTATCATGGCAAGGAACCTTGCATTTTAATAGCTTTAGTTCTGAAGGTCTGATCCAGAAATTTCGTTCTCTAACATGCCTCCTCATGTGTATCATTTGGGATAAAATGTGAGCAAAGCAAAGGCCCACCATTACTATTGTGAATCCATGTTTACCCATTTCAGTATTAAGGCCCACAGTTTGATTTTCTGTTACTGCCTTTTTTCCTTTAGTGGGAAATCTTGGGATTTCCAAAAGCATGTATTTGATCTTTGTTTTAGGCATGAATGCTTCTACAAGTTTATGCTATTTATAGTTAATTAGTTCTTTCTTGTTCCTTATTTAGTTCTACAATATACTTTGATAAAGGTACATCTTTTTCTTGATATTTCTTCCATATGACTAAGCAGATTATGTCAGTGAAGGCAGTATCATTAATATTCGCATGGTGCACAGAAATAAAAAGGGATTCTTCTCTTGGCTATGCTTTCACTTTTATATGGCAATTCTTCTGGAGGACTACTAAATTTCCACCTTCATGTTTAGAGGTATCTGCTTGAAATGCTTTATCAACTATAAATGCAATGCATATTTTGTGATGATTGAAATTTATGGTGGTGTGGTTTTTATTACCGAAATGAATGTTGTTATTTGTAAAGTGGATTGAAGCAGAAATTTGTTTGACAGCATATGAAGCATTAGTTTTTGTTTTGAGAGTACTAGCATCTACATACTTTTCTCAATTTTTGTTTCTCATCATGGGAAAAGAGAAATTGTTTTTGGAGACTGAAGGGAGGCCTTAGTTAGATTCTATGCTTTTATCTTTTATTCAAAATATTAACAATCTCCTAGGAGTAGGATTTTTGGCAAGAACTCGAAGAGCTGTTTTGTTGGATTGGAAGGTACTAATCTCTCTCTATCTTTACTGACAATACAGCTTAGCATTTTGAGATTGGGGTTCCTAATCACTTAAATAGAATCATGTCTTGGTTTGTTTTTCTTTTTGGTTTCACTGGTTCAATTCTTCTAGTCAATCATTTCTTTTGTGATCAACCATGTTCATAATGATAATTTGCATTAATTTTTTTTGGGATTCTAATTAATGTGACATATGCTTTTTCTCGTCCAGTAATAAGTTGAAAGATTGTAACAATTTCATTGCTGAAACAGTGGATGTGTATTTGGGACGTCCTGGTCCCGTCCTAACTCCTTGGTGATGGGACGGGATGGGAGACCAATTTTGAGTCTCGATCATTTTTCGAGATGGGAGTGTTCTAATCCCATCCCGTGAACACTTCTAGGTAACTTTACAAATAAGCAAATACCATATAAAAGAAAATGTTAGATAAAAGACTAAGATACACAAAAATATGAAAATGCTAAATAATAAATTAGTTTTTAAGCATTGTAACCCAAGATAAAATAATTTTTGCTTTTTATGAAATCTCTCAATAATAAATCACTTTTTCATAGAACCTTTAAACAATCATAAAATCATTTTTTAAGCATAAACTATTTGTCCCTTAAAATTCTATCATCCTCATCCCTTTGGACACACATGTACTTCATCAAATAATATACAACCTAGATTTAATATATTAAAAAGGGAAAGGCTGAGATATTACAATCATTATGACATAAATAGTGTAAATAAGTGATTATGGAGCATCAAAGGTTGTGAGGTTGATAAATTATAAAACAAAATCAAACATCATATTAAAGGGCAAGGGGCAAAGTGCATGATTATCTATGAACTTATTTTTTTGGTGCATCTGTGGCCAAATTGTAAAACTGCAGATTCACATAACCGTTCAATCTCATAGACTTTTAATGGTCTGGTCACAGAAACATCAAAAAAATAACTTCATAAATACTTGTGCACTTTTCTTCACTTTAGGGTATTGGATGCTTCTGATGACTTCTTACCCCTTTACCCTATATTATGCATACAAATAAAGCATTCAGGAATACAACTTTTGAAGCTCATTTTTGAATTTGGCTTTCAGCTGTTCTCTCTTTATCTTGAGCGCGGCAGTGACTAACCCAGATTCAGGCGTCCATGGATCTGGCAGTAGCTTAAATTTCGCCGGAATCTCAGTTTTGCCCAGTTTTGCAGCTTTTGCGGCCTGAGAAGAATTAAAATGAAAGAAGTCAGTCGATGTCAAGAATATAAAAACATTACTTATATAAGTAGTAATTCTCCAAAGCTGAAGGCGCATAACTTCAAATGGAAACAAGGCCTTATTACAGCAGGAGCACATATCAACTAGGCTTATCATCAAGAAGAGAATCAGGCTTTGTTCCCCCTTGAAGGCTTGGTTTGGATGGAGAAAAAAGTGAGAAAAACTAGGGAGAGAAGAAAACTAGGAGGAGAAATTCCCAACAATTTTTTTTATACCATTTTTAGAAGTTTACTGTCCTAGTTTTTCTTCCTTTATTTTTCTCATGAAAGGGAAAGGGGGGAGGGGGGGACTAAAGAAATAACACATCATCTGTCTTAAACAGCTTATACAAAGTCATTAGTTCCATTTTACAGAGTTCGGAAGAACACTACCTTCTAAGTACATCTACAAACCCGTATCACACATCAACCAGGAGACTAAAAGAAATAACACATCATCTGTCTTTTCCTCTTGGTCTTATAGTAGTGCTATTTTTTTTTTCTCAACTGGACTCTTCTCCTCGAATCTTGTCAGGTGTTAAAACACTCTTTATTCTTTCTTTTTGTATCATTTCGCTTTTTATTAATTTATATTTGATTCACTTCCCAAAAAAAGGGGTATTCCTCTTTGACACAGAAATTAGACTTCGCATATGTAGAAATACTCATCATGCAAATTTAATCAATATAATTCCAGAGTCCTAGAACGTGGCCTGCCCAAGACAATATTCGTTCAACATCAGGTATTTTCTTCCCAGCATGAATGTGTGTGGTGCAGTGGTAGAAAGAATTTTGGGGGGGGAGGGGGGAGGAAGAGAAGAGACAAGAGAGAGATAGAACTGAGTAATACTTCTGAGTCTTAGATTACATTTGATTTACAAGCCCCCATTTTTTTTCTTTTTATGTAGTTGCTGAGACACTAACTCCCTTAACGGTTACTACCTAATAACTCCCCTTCCCTTGTTTAGTTGATAAAAAAATAAAGAGGAGGGAAGGAGAGCTCTTGTGTGCTTTACAAATTGAAGGGAGGGGAAGGGGAGAATTATGTTTGACTAAATTGGCCCAAGTCATTTAAAAATTCTAAACTACTTATTATATTAAAAAAATTAAGTCTTTTTTCCCCTCTTTCTTATAATAAAATAAGTTTTATTACCTAATTAAATTTAATTGATAATTCATTTATGTATAAAATTTCAATATTTTATTGGAATCAAAAGACAAAACCACTTCCCTTAAAAATAAAAATATATATGGAACTATCTCGTTCTAAAGTTGTAAAAAATAAAATTGGGAACTTAGGAGAGGAAATATATCCCGACGCACAAGACCTTCATCAGCTGAATTATAACATTTATTCATTGGTCCAACATTTTTTCAACTAAATTTCAATATATTTTTTCATTAAATATACATTGATAAATTACAATATTAACATATTTTCATTAATATATTCCCTCCCCTCCCCTCCCCTCAAATTAAATCAATCTCCTCCTGTGAACCAAACACACCCAAAGGTATCCAGGAATCGTAGTTAAGAAGTGTCATGTACATTCTGCAAATAATTGATTCATATTAACTAACCTTGGAAAGGGACTGCTGAACCTCAGAGACAGTTTCAGGATCATCACACAGCTCAGAAAAATCTGTGCACGAAACACCAGCTTTGTGGGCCCATTTCTCCAAAGTATGACGTGAAGGAACAATGAGAGCCACACAATAGTCGCGGAAGGGATCTGCATAAACCATAATACTATCCACGTAACGACATGTCGACAGTGCTGCCTCAACCTGCAATGAAGTTGGAACAGAACACAAAAAAAGATCCATATTAATTTTCTATAAGCCTTGTGCAAGTAGTTCATCAAGAATGATAAGTTAGTCACCTTCCCAAGAGAGATATATTCTCCATGTTGAAGTTTGACAATATCCTTTTTTCTATCGATAATGTCAAGACACCCATCAGGATGCAACCTTCCGATATCACCAGTATAAAACCAGCGCATTCCTTTCTCATCAACCTGTACCAAGTTCACAATAGTAAGTGCTTCTTATAAGATGCAGGATAAGATTCAAGAATATTTCAAGACAAATCTCAGACATACTTACAGCCTAGGTTTTGGAATTTACCTTAAACACCTCATTAGTTTTTTCAGGACTCTTGAAGTAGCCAGTTGTCACACTAAACCCCCCAATTACAACCTCTCCCCGTGGCATTGGTTTATCTGATGTCATATATCCACCTTCATCCCAAGAAACAAGCTACATATCCAGAAATAAGAACTGGGTCAATTATTTCCCCATTAACAGTTGAAGAGCAGCCAGTTATACGTTCCAGTACGATTTAGAAATATGTAATTTATAAATTTCTGACATGGTATAAAATACTAAACTTGGCATTAAATATCTTTTATCATGATTACAGCCCAAAAAAATAACCTTGGAAAATAAGTATGGTTTTGATGCTAAATTAAATCATCATTAAGAATGAGATATATGGACTACCTTAATAAAGCCACAAGGAAGAGGACGACCAATACGTCCAACGATGTTGTCATCAAACTCAGAGAAGGCAGCCCCAGCAAATGTTTCTGTCAAGCCGTATGCTTGACCAATGGGAGCTCTGTTGAGAGATAACGATAGAAAACTTCATTTGGATAATAGACGCACAAATATAACCATACAAGCATAACAGTATATAATTAATGAAAGGTAATTCAGCATAGAATTAAAGCAGAGATTGTAAGCTATCATTGCAGTTAAAAGTAAATTAGGTAAATGTACACTATTAATATTCGCACATCTAACAACCCCTAGAATAAGCCTAAGGTGAAATTGATATGTAAATAATATATATAGCAAGAGTTAATTAGCACTTGGTAGTTCTGACAGTTAAGGGACTAATATATAAATAAGAGGCTTAGACCTAGATGTATGCCCTGGTGTTATCAATAAAACATCAAAGCACTATTCAATTCTCCTCTGTTTATCTTCTATTGACCCCTATCTCTCTCTTTCTTCCTCTCTTTTTATCATTTCAGTGGTATCCAGAGCCTCTTTCCTCACCTTGAATGCCTGAAACACATTCACAAGCTGCGCAAAGAAGAACGGCATATCAAAATGATGAGAGGTTTCATACCCTGGAGAATATATTCCAAGCCCTCACCACCTAGGTTGCCCAACTCATTAGAAGCTTTGATGAGTCTCGCAATGGTGGAGGCTCTCCATTTGACAGCAGCGACAGCAGCCATCATTGGCCTAGAACTAAACAATGTGATTGTCTACCACCTACACATTTTACCAAGATGGACTTTCCAAGATTATAGAAAGCAGATGTTCTTGGATGGCTTCTAAATTGTGAAAGATATTTTCATTTGGATGAAACACTAAAAGCTAGGAAAATCACCATGGCTAGTATTCATCTGGACAAGAAGGCATTCTAGTGGCATCAATCATTTAAGCACTCATCAGCAGGCCAGCAAATCCTTCATATGACTCAGACAATTATGTTGAAGCAATTCAAGCAAGACTCGGACCTTCATATGAAGCCTTGATGGAGGATCTCATGCATTTGCAATAGACAAGAAGTTTAGGGGTGTTTAAAGATGCATTCAGTGAGATCATATGCATTGCAAGCTTAATCTTGTTCAGTCCTATCTAGTAGGCTAGCAGGAAGATTCGCTAGGCCTAATTGAATCTTGATGCCCAATACACTTCAAGGTGCAAAAAGTTGACCTGCCTCCAAGAAATTAACCTCTAGAAGGCATTTGATGCATTCACATGGAGAAAAACATTGTTTGGTATTGTTAGGGGTTCTGGGTGTCATTGCAGCCTTCTATTCTAAAACATGGGTAATGACCAAGAAGGGGAGTTCCTGTGGTGAATCCTAACAATTCAAAACAAATTCGTCCAAAACACCTTCAGGGGCACCCATGGCTTTGTCTGCAATATCAAACCTAGGAAGCTCATCTTTTTCATCGTCCAAACAACAAACCTTTGGTTTGATAATCTCCAAGACGATGAGCCCAAAGAAGATGCAAACATAGAGACCGGAATCTTCATTTTTATTGCCATCAAAAGTATTCAAGAGGCCATAATTTCCCTCAGTGAAGGAAAATGCAGTTACAAATTATAGAAATTGATAAAACCTCTGAAGAACACATTCAAGAACCTTATGATAAGAATGAAGATGATGAAGACTCCCTTGGATGTCTCCATGTTTCAATTCATGCTATAGAAGGGGAGGTGGGAACAAATTCAATGAGGCTGCAAGTACATGTGGGTAGGAAGCCAGCTCAAATTCTGATTGACAATGGAATCATCCTTGACTTCCTAGATTATGATTTAACCAAGAAACTTGGATGAAATGGGGAAGATGACTGGGCAAATGCAGTGGTTGCTGGAGCAAGAAGATTGAAGGTCTATGGTGTTTGGAAAGAATTCAAATGGTGGATGTAAGGAGAGGAGTTCTCCATAGATTTAAGAGTCATGAATATAAAATCGACATTTTTTTGGGGTTGGAAATGGCTCAAAAGTCTTTGTTATGCTTTTTAGGATTATGATTCTTAAAAATGTATTTATAGAATAATGGAAGAATGTGTTTTGCAAGCACAACCTCAAATGGAATGGCACCTGTAGCAAAATACATGTGAAAATCTTATTTTACTATATGCATTTATTGTAAGCCTTACAAATTGACAAGATTAGTGATGAGGAAGACCTTGGCAAGGCTGTGGATGCGGGAAGATACCAACAGATGGTGGGGAAGTTAATCCACCTCTCTCACACTTGACCAGATATTGCTTTCACAGTAAGTATGGTTATTCAGCGCTCTCGTGATCCAAGGCAAAACACTTAAGTCTACAGAATTCTTAGACACCTTAAAGGATCTTTGAGATGTGGCCTCTTGTTCAAGAAGTCTAACACATGAAATGTGGAAATTTTTATAGATGCAGATTGGGCAAGTGACTAGGATGACAAAATCCAAATTTAGATATTGTATGTATGTTTGGGGCAATCTTGTCACTTGGCGAAGTAAGAAGTAGAGTGTAGTTGCAAAAAGCAGTGCAAAAGCCGAGTTAAGAGCAGTAGCACTTGGGATTTGTGATGGTATATGGCTTAAGCGAGTACTTGATGAATTGAAGAAAAGTGTAAATTTGCCAATCAAACTTTGTTCAGACAGTATGGTAGCCACTAACATATCACATAATTCGGTTCAACATCATAGAACTAAGCATGTTGAGATTGGTAGGCATTTTATAAGAGAAAAGATAGACAATGGGATAATTCGACTAGTCTATATTCCTTTAGGAGAACAAATCACAAACATCTTTACAAAAGGAGTAGCTCAAGACAAATTTGACTAGTTTGTGGCAAGTTGGACATGATTAACATCCATGATCCAAATTGAGGGAGAGTGTGAAAATCCCAATTTATTATATACATTTATTGTAAATATTATAGGATCAGATCTTATTCTTTATTCTTTATTCCTTGTTTAATTTCTCCCTGATTTTCAGTCCTCACAATTATTAGGGCTGGATGTATTTTTGCTTATTTTCCCCTCTTGGGAGGAAAAATATATCGAAGCATTATTCCCAATTCTCCTACAATTCAACGCCATCAAAGTTCCACTAGTAACCAACCTAGACTGGCCTTTATATCAAATGAATGTGAAAAATGCATTCTTGCATAGTGATTTAGAAGAAGAGGTTTATATGGAGATACCTCTTCCTTTTCGAACCAAGACCAAGAATAAAGCCCATAAGCTTCTAAGCCTTACAAATCTCTAAAGGGTTTGGAACAGTCTCTTAGAGCATGGTTTGGACACTTCACTACAATTGTGTAGGAGAATGGATACAAACAGTGCCAGTCAGATCATACTTTGTGCATTAAGCATAGAAGAGAAAAGAGGAATTGTTTATATTGATGATATTATCAATCACTGGTGACGCATAGAGATTCAGCAAATGAAAGGTCAACTAGCATCAGAATTCGAAGTGAAAGATCTTAGAAACTTGAGGTATTTTCTTGGCTTGGAAGTTGCTAGATAAAATGGCATTTATGTGTCTCAAAATATATACTCTTGATTTCCTACAACAAACAAACATGTTGGGATGTAGACAAGCAGTTACTCCTATTGATCTTAACCTCAAATTAGGTGTACATGAAGATTGTCCACTTGTTGATGAAGAACGATATCAACATCTATTGGGGAAACTGATCTACTTATCCCACACTAGACCAAATATAACCTATCTTGTCAATATGTGTGTAGTCTTCAGGATACTCAATTATTTGAAGTCTTCTCCTGGTAAAGCTTTATTCTTCAAAATGGAAGTTGTAGTTTCAAGTAGTGCAGAAGTTGAACTTCAAGCTCTTGCACATGGTATATGTGAAGGTCTTTGACTGGAAAGAGTGTTCAAGGAGTTGAAGATCCATTATGAAGAGCCTATGAAATTTTTATGAGACAATCAAGCTATTGGTATTGTGAAGAATCCAATTCATCGTGTTGGACCAAATATGTTGAAATTGATCATCACTTCATTAAAGAGAAAATTGACAACAAGCAAGTTGAAGTAAGGTACACGCCTATAAGGATACAAATTGTAGATATCCCTTACCAAGTCCCTGGCAAAGCCCAAGTTTGAAAGCTTAATGAGCAAGTTGAGAATGATTGACATCTATTCTCTAGCATAAAGGAGAGCACTAGAAAGAGCCTAGCCCGTACTCTAGTTTATTTCATTTAATCTGAATAATTTTGTCATTATTAGTTTTAATTAGTTAGGATAGATTTTGATATGAATATGATTTTATCTTAATAACTTGTAACCTAGAAGCTCCCTATATATGCACTATTTGCCTAATGGATTGAAGCAGAGCATTATTTTTCTCCGCCGATTATATATATATATATATATATATATATATAAAAGCATAGTAAGATGGGATAGATCAACAATACCTAATTCCATTCCTCATATATCATAAATTAAAATAATTCTACTCTCAATTAAAATCCCTATTTTCTATATTTATCGACAATTTCCAGTCTACAAATAACAGTATATTTTCTAATACATTTTCATTTTTCATTATTTTGTCCCATGATTGGAGAAAACTTGACATAAACTTTTAAAGTGGGGAAGCTATAGGACAATCCACCTTGAAGCATTAGGTAAGATGAATGCCACCACTCTAAGACATGGTACAAAATAATGAATTCGACCGAGCTGAGGAGGAATTGGTGTAGTTAAATCTGAATGTAGAATTCTATAAGTCAAACTTCAAAATGTTCAAGATAATCATAATCTTCATTCTATATATTTAAATCAAACTATGTGGGCAAATATATATAGTTACTATTATCATTAATATCCAATGGGCCCGCAATGATAATATCAAACTCTATTGTGAAATTTTCCTAACTGTACTCAAATCTTGTTGAAGACACTCATATTCACCCTTCACCTATTCTTGAAATTTTTCTAGTGTCCTGCGTGCATAGTTAATGGCACTTAAAACATCATCAGATTGGTGTGTAGCTCTACCAAGCCTAAATTAAAAGCTAGGACTAGGAACCTATGTATTTTCAACAACAAATGCAGGACTGGGAAAGGCCAA